GAACCAGGAATCGAACTCAGGACCTTGCGCTTGCCAGGCATGTGCTGTGCCACTGAGCTAAATCCCCAGCCCCCTCGCATTGCTGTTTAAAGCCCAGGAAGAGCCCGGCGACCCTGTCCTCCATGCTTTACAAGAGGAAACAGTCTAGAGAATGGACAGAGGGAGACCCTGGTAGTTGCATGTCCTTGATGAAGAAAATCATAGCACTTTCCCTTATTTCTGAAAAGGTCATTAGGCAACACTGATGTTTTATTTTACTGTTATTGACAAAAGCTGAAAAGTAGCTGTTGTGCTTTTGAGAAAAATAACCGTAAAAGTGAATAAGATAAGCACAGAGGGAACACAAGTGGGAAATCTGGATAGAAACAAAATTTGAAGTTCAGAACTGAAAGTGGAAAGAGCCTGGCCTCGGGAAGTCAGGAAGATGCTGGGCCCAGCGTCTATCACTTACTAGCATCAAGGGTATGTGCAGCCATTCTGCTTCGCTGAGCTTGTTCTATATGAAATCAGCTCCTCTGATTAGCTCGTTCTCACAGTGGCCAAGAGCCGTGAACCAAAGGGCTCTAACTGAATCACAGCATTACCCTTTACTGTGGGGTCTAGCACAAGCTATTGAACCTCTCTGTGCCTCTGTGTCTTTTGTTGCTGCTGTTTTGGTGCAGAGGAATGAGACAGTCTTGCTGTGCAGTTCAGGCTGTCCTTCAATTCACTATGTAACCCAGGCTGGTCTTGAACTCACAGCAATCCCCCTGCCTCAGCCTCCCAAGTGCTAGGGTTACAGGCATGTGCCACACCTGGCAATGTTGCTGAGTGTCTTGATGGGTGTAAGAGCCCTATAGACTTGCTGAGGGTGTTGGTAGCTAATGCCTGTGCTCGGGAGAGTACCTAATAAAGAATTAGCTATCATTAGTACAATGCACATGTAAAACATCAAGGATAGAATCAGCATGTTCTCAGGGCCCTTTCTCCTCCTGGAATCTGACTCTAGTCAAAGTATGTCCCCGTAACCCAAGCAGCAGTGGAGAGGGGTCCTCTCCAAAAAGCCTGGCCAACCCTCTACAGTGGCCTGCGAGTCTGCTGGTTCTGCCCTTTCCTCGTTGTAACGCCGAGCCCCTGTAACCCAGACACATTTGGAGGAAGTGAGACTAGCAGGCTTCCCTTGACTTTGAATTTCCCCAGCTGCAGGGGAGGAAGCTGTGGTTCAGAATGCTCCTGGACTGACTGGCATCCCTGGTAGCAGGCATGAGGTCCCCGGGAGCAGGGCCCAGGTCAGTGCAAGGCCCCATGCCCACCCACAGGGAGTGTCAGAGAGACGCTTCTTCCATCTCACTCCGGGGCAAACTGCAGGCTGTGCTCAGCGCAGTATGAAGCAGCTTCACACAGCCAGCACAGTCAGTGGACATCAGCCTGACCTCATCAGCACCAAGCTCTTAGTCTTTAAGACTAACCCCAGAGGATGTGGAAGACAAGAGACCGAGTAAATAGTCTGGGCAGGACTGGACGAAGGAAAAGAAACATACCCCAGTTTATACAAAAACCTTTTATTTATTGTTTGTATTTCTTCTTCCCATCCCTATCCCCGACATGGAACCCAACCAGCTTCTAAGACTGGCTGCTGTCTGGTCTTGAATATGGGTGCTAGGGACACCGCGGGAGGTCAGGAAAGGTAGGAACCTCCTCTTCTGCTGTAGTGGAAGCTGGAAGAAGCTTTTTTTTCCTGGCTGCAGCTACAGCAGCTTCCCAAGGTAACCCCTTAGTCAGAGGGACCAACCCCAGTGATAGACACGAGGAAGGGATGACTCGTCTCCCAGGGGCCTGGAGGCACCTGCCATGCCTTGCTTCTGTCCCATGCCAGGCCAAGGCTCTAGAGGTAAATCAATCTCTCCCTGGAGATGAAGCTCAGCGGCAAGTGACTCTGCGCGCACGTGTGTGTGTGTGTGTGTGTGTGTGTGTGTGTTGTGTACCTCAGTTCTGGGTCCCAATTAACAGTAGATAGGAAAGGGAAGGGAGGGTGCTGGAGAACAGAAGACAGGTTTGGGGTAGGATCCCTGTTCAGATGGATTACAGCCTTCATAGAGTAGGCACTTCTGACCCCACACACGCCTCTTTAGATAAAGGACACAATGAACACTTTTGGTCTAAGGGCAGGTATCCCTCATCTGCCAGACATGGGCTTGGCTGTCTCCTTGGCCACCAAAGTCCACTCTAGGTACTGTCACTCCAGGCTCCACCATTATTGCCCCACCATAAGGTCAGCTGGAGACCAATGCTGCCAGCCAGACTCCGGCTGGTGAGGCAGAAAGGACAACCCTGACTCTGGGGCCCTAACCCTGGGTGAGGTCACCCATGGAGACGCTCAGCTCTTTCCCACAGCCCTGCTGCTTTGAGCCAGACACACAGAACTCTCAAGGGAGGCCTACGAGCTCTGTGGAAGACAGGATCCCAGAGAAGCTCGCAAGGAAGAGAGCCTCGGTGGTATTTGCTCCTCTTCCCTGCCCCAGGCCCTGCTCTGCAGGCTCAGAAGTCTGAGTCTGCATCCATGAGCTCCGCTTCCATCAGGTTGGTTCGAGAATGAATGGGCCCCAGACCTTGGCGGCGGCCATGACCCCAAGCCATAGGGGCTGAGGCACTGGGGAGAAATGGATCCTGATGGGGACTGGGCTCTGGGCAGAAGGGGTTGGAGACCAGGGTCCAGGCTCCCTGGTAGCACGATTCCCCAGCTCCCCAGGCACCTGCAGCCACTAGGCACTTCTGCCGGGGCAGCTGAGGCAGCCGAGGAACGGCACTGGTGGCAGAGGCAGGGCCGGGAGCAGCATGGTGCCGATCCGGGGCCGCACCCAGGGGGCACACCTCCTTTTTCCTCTTCCTCCGCTTCTTCCGGCCCAGCCGCTTCTCCAGCTCTGGGGAGATCTCTGCCTCAACCAGCCACAGGTTGGCTTGTTCCTCTGGTGGCACTGACAGGAGAGAGAACACAGCCTGGCCCCCGGGCCTGTCCCCACCATGCTTCCCTCCCCAGGGCCCCTCTGCTTGAGCTGTGGGACCCACTGCTCTAGACTTCTTAGCCCCACACTCTGGCTCCTTTAGGGCAATGATGGCAAAGCTTTTAGAGCTTTCAGTGATAACCAACGGCCCCTGCAGCACATGGGATCTCCACCACTGCTCTAGGGCCTTTCCTGCTTCCTCCCCCTCTGGCAGCCTCTGGTACTTCAGTTCCAGGGAGCCTGGTCCCTAAGCACCTCCACCTTCCTACAGAGCCCTCATACCTGGGGTGGCCACGGGGGTGACAGAAACGTCCTGGGGCAGTATAGCTCCTCTCCGAGCTACCATCTTGGTGACATGCTGCGCCCAGGCAGAGGAGACATCAGCAGAGGGCTCATTGAGGTCAAAAGCCAAACCCGCTTTGGGGATAGAAGGAAAAAGGAACAGTGAAGTCATCTTCCCCCAGCCGGTCCCCTGTGCCACTTGCAGAGAAAGTGCCCACTGTAAGCACAGTGATCTCTTCCTGTTCAGAGTCTCAGAGGGCAGCTCGGAAGCCCGGCTTGCTCTCAGCGAAGGAGAGCACCTGGGGAAGGCAGAGAGGAAGGGAGAGGGATGGGAACCTCACAGAACCGAGCACTGGCAGGTAGGCCACGGACAGGAACAGCGGGAGACAGGGGCTCCCAGAGAGCAGACTGCGGGCTGGAGAGGACTGAGAGTGTGAGGGGCTGGGCACTGCAGGAGTTAAGCGGCCGGGAGGAAGGGCAGGGCGGAGGCTCACCCACAGGCCCGTCATGGGAGACCGTGTGCATGCTGAACGAGAGCTCCTGGCCCGGGTTCTGCAGGAGCTCGCGCCGCTTGGAGAAGGCCTTGGCAATCATCTTGCTCTTCTTGATCCTTTTGGGCTCATCATCACTCTGCCCAGTCAGCCTACAAGCAGAAAGGGTGGTGGCGGGAAGTGGAAGAGCAGCTGTTTCCCGTCAAGTCTTGTGAAAGACCAGTGATTCCATTCCCTCCAGAGAAGGGGGCAATGCAAGGCCCCAGGTCCCTAGGGGACTCTGAGGAGTACAAACCTGCCCGTGAAGAAGTGAGCCTGGGATGTGGGGCTCCTGGGCGCCCTGCCCTCAAATCACTCACTCAGATGCCTCTGGTGTGGCACCGCCCCAGGCCTCCCAGAAACAGAAGGTGTCACCAGGGGGCAGTGGTGAGCCACAGAGAAAGCCAGAAAAATTGCTGCCACCCACCATGTGCAGGAAAAGGACTCCTCAACCTAAAGGGGGAGGGGTGGTGGTGCTGAGGCTGAGTAAGGTTGGCAGTTGTTTTGTTTTGATTTGTTTTTTGGGACTGTGAATTGAACTCACGACCTTGTGCTTGCCAGGCAGGTGCTGCACTGCTGAGCTACATCCCCGGCCCTCTGAGAGTAAGACTGGAGTGGTAGGATGAGCCAGTTGTTAACCCTACCTGCACCAGGTGCGCCTCCAGATGAGCAGAGTGGCTTTAGTCCAAACCCAGGTGCTCATGGCAATGCCGGTTCCAAACATGGCAAACAGGTTGATCTTCTCCACCAGGAGGCTGGGGCGATTCTTGATCTCACAGTCAGGAATGGGCTTCTTGGTGGGCAGCCCAATGGTCACGTTGGCCTGGCATCTATGGTGAGGAAGGATCACAGATAAGGCCTTCTGCATCCAAGGGTTAGGGTTAGGGTTAAGGCACCCAGACTATCAATCCAAAGACTGGGGAGAGCTGAGCCCCACTGCACTGGTTCCTTGTTTTGGTGCCAGGATGGAACCAGGGCCTCATGTATGCTAGGCAAGTCCTGCAGCACTGAGCTACATCCCCAGGCCCTCAAGGCGCTCACTGTCATGACCTGGGGATTTCCGAAAAGCTACTGCTATCTGGGCCCCACCCTAGACAATTACATCAAACTTCTGGGGCAGGGACCCAGGAATTACTGTGTGTTAAAGCTGCCCAGATTGAAAGCTGGCACCTTTGAAATGGAGCTTGAAGCAAGTTGGACCTGGTGGTACAGGCCTGTAATCCGACTACTCTGGGAGGCTGGGGTGGGAGGATGTCACTAGAGCCCTGGGCAACTCAGCAACTTAGCTAGACTCTGTCTCAAGATAAAAATTTTAAAGAGGCTGCACACATAGCCCAGTGTGAAGTTTCAATCCCCAGTACTGAAATGGGAGAAAAAATGAATGAGCCTGAGCAGTCGGGCAGTATCTACTTTCTTGGCATTTTAACTGCTGTCCCTGTAACAGCAGGTGCTGCACTTCTTTTGGCAGTGGAGATACTTCACTCTCCAATTCACCCTCATTGGAACATAAAAAAGCACCAGGAAAACTAGCAAACATGAACAGGTTGTCAAGTTAGCATACAGATGCAAGGATCTACACAGAGCTCCATAGGAGATACAGAGAGTGCAATTTCTTTTTCTTTTTCTTTTTTTTTTTTTTTTTTCCAGTACCAGGGATTGAACTCACGACCTTGAGCTTGCCAGGCAGGCACAGTGCCGCTGAGCTAAATCCCCAGCCCCTAAGTGCAATTTCTGCAGCTGGTCAGAGGAGCCAGAGTATGAAATGGCTTCATAGGTGCAAAGGCGTCGGCCAGACCACCTACAAGGTATAGACAGAATGCAGAGTGCAGGGATGTGAAGGCTGTTTGCCATGTTTGGCCAAATACAGAGCAGCTGGTATCATGGGTACTCAGACACTATCAGTCCCATCTGGGCAGGGGCCTGGCAGACTCCTGGTGCACAAGGGAGGGGCTGCCATCACTCCAGCCAGCCAGGGCTGCAGCTCCCACCACTGCTGCCCCCAAGCCCAGGCCCCTCACTCACAGAACATAGTCCCGGAAGCTGCGCTCCCACTCAGCCTGGTTGAAGAAGTCATAAAAATGGCAGCTGAAGGTGATCAGCACAAAGCCAAAGGCCAGGAAGCCAAAAATGCCTGTAGAAGACAGGGGCAGGGGCAGTTGGGATGTTGCCAAGCACAGACATTATGCAGCAGGGTGAGGGTGTCTGCCCCCTTGAGGACTGAAGACAGCCAAGTCTGGTAAATTCCCACTGGGGCTCAGGTCAAGAACTACATCCTTGCCAGATGTGGTGGCGCACACCTGTAATCCCAGCACTCAGGAGGCTGAGGCAGGAGGATCGTTGCGAGTTTGAGACCAGCCTGGGCTACAAAGTGAGCTCAAGGCCAGCCTGAACTGCATAGCGAGACCCTGTCTCAAAAAGACAAAAAAAAAAAAAAAAAAAAAGAACATCCTCCAAAACAAAGCCAGAGGGCACTGCGGCAGCTGCTGGGAGGCCCCTGCAAGAGAAGTGGCCCTGGGGAGGCCATCCTGCCATGCACGCACTTGGGTTCTTCACCTGAAAAAGCCCCTTCTTTTGAGCTGCTACCACTGCCCCTGACACACATAGAACCTGGGCCTGTCCCTGTCCCGCATCGCAATGAATGGCTGTATTCTGGGGGTCCCGGGGCCCCAAGCTGGCCAGGCCCTTGGGGGCCACTCACCCAGGCGCAGCATGGTCTCGTTGATTTTGCTGGCAGCTTTCTCACTCAGCAGTCCGGGGTGGTTGCTCTTGATGGAGAAGAGAGTCATGACTCCTGAACACAGGGGACTCAGACGTTAGCGAGGGAGGCTGCCCTGCTCGCAGGGGTGTGAGGGCGGGGGTGCCGTGGCCCTGTAGCCTTAGGTTTCATCACGGCTGGGCCGACTTAGAGCTTGGGGAACCAAAGACACCGGAGCATGGGGGAGTGGCTGGTGCCAATTACGCCCTGCACTGGGCTGGCTGGGGCAGAGCCACAACTGGCGGGCACAGAGAGGAAGCCTCCATCCTGGCCCAGCTGTCCCTAGGGAAGGCAGCCAGTCAAAGCTGTTCTGATTGAAAAAGCATGAAACAGAGACTTGAGAACAGCACTGCTGAACAGAAACATAAGGTGAGCCTCACACGTAATCTCCAATTTTCTAGTAGACACATTAAAAAAACAAGAGACATGAATTTCAATATGCTTTATAAACCTAATATACCCAAAATATATCATTCTAACACACAGTCCAGGTAACAATGAGAAATATCTCTCGTTAGTGAGGTCTGTTGTCTGCCACTACTATTGCACTGCTAAGTCTTTGAAAGGCGGGGTGTAACACTTAAGACGCTTCTCAATTTGGACCAGTTTCAGTGCATGCGGGCAGCGGCTACCATGCAGGACAGCACAGGTACAAGATATAAAGCAGAGGTTCAGACACTGCCAGAAAGGGAGGAAAGAAGGCTCAACAGCTGACAGGCCGGGAGGAGGAAACTGAAACCAACAAAAGAAAACCCAAAGAAAATGAGATAGATGCTAAGGCGTATCGTGGGGTAGCAGATTGGGACTAGAAGTTAGGGCCCCGTACATCTGTGAATGTTGTGAAAACTATGATGTGTATGTTGTGGGTACAAAGGAGATGGAAACCAAGCTCCAAAAGATGGAGCAGGTTGGTCCACGTAGGCAGGGTAGATCACCCAGACATTCATCACACAAGTGTACCCTGCCAAGAGCGGGTAGCAGCTGGAACCCAACCCCAGGCTCTGGAGGAAGGGGTGTGCTTTTCTTGCCAACAAATGTACTACCGCATAACAAGAGTTCATGCTCCTGCATCTGCCTAGAGCAGTGATGGCAAACTTTTTAGAGCTTTTAATGATAACACACAGCAGGCTGTGGCATGTATACCATAGGTTCCCAACCACTGGCCTACAGGGTCACTTGTTCTACTCTGCACCAAGGCCTAGATGAGCTGGATGTGGTCTAAATGTGCAGACAGCAGAGCTGACCACTTTCACTCCCACTTCCTCGTAGCTCTGGCCTGGCCCACACTCACCTCGGATGAGGAAGTAGCCCCCCACGATGAGTACCAGGCCGATCGGGGCCAGTACAAAGCCAGCACGATATCGGTAGTTCTTGTAGCCCACAAAACAGATGCCACTCACAGAGTCCCCATCCACCTGAGGCAGGAAGGCGTGGAAGGGATGGTCAGTCACCTCCTCCAAGCCTGCTCTACTCAGGTCCCCAGTCCCATACCAGTCACTGTACCTGGGCCACAGCGAGGATTGCCACAGTGAGGACGAATGGGAGCGACCAGGTGAGCAGGTGAAAGTAGGAGGTCTTGCCTGAGAGGGGCTGGTAGGTGGTGCCCAGAGCTTTGAAGGAGGTGTGCCAGGCATAGGTGAGGACCACAAACCAGACCACACCAGCCATCAGGGCATAGTATACGATGACGAAGATGATGACACAGGACAGGGTCTCATTGGAGCTGTGCAGACATGTGGGATCATTTGAGATCACTCCGTGCCCCCTCTATCAGGTTTCACCATCCTGTCTCCAGACCCTGAGCTGCTAAGATCTGGAGGGTTCCCAGGGGTTTGGGCTTGGAGACATGCCGAGGGTCAGACTGGAAATGGCTCCAGGAGACGCCCCTTTGATAGATGCCAACAACCAAGGTCTCACACTTCCAAATCCCCTGTCCCTTTTGTAGCAAGTGCACATTGCAACTCACCTCCCCCTCTTCTTGGTCCCCAAGACACTTACGTGGGCTCCCCAAGCCTCATGGTGCCATCAGCTCGGCAGACAATCTCTCGGCGGGCACCGTCCATAAACTGGGCCAGCCAGCCAATGCTGCCCACGAAGAAACACGCGTTGACGTAGAAGAGGATAACCGCAGGGTAGCGATTGGAATTCCGCCAGTCAGCCACAAAGGTGGCCTAGAGAAATAGACAGCAGCTCTGCAAGGTGAGGGTCATTCTGCTACTGCCCCCCCCTACCCCAGCCACCTTTACCTGAACCCCAGGACCTTCCCCGGAACCCCCACCAAGTCCACCCCATCTGGAGCCCAGCCTCACGTGGCAGCCTGGCCTCCCCATACTGACCAGGGTGAAGAGCGTGCAGAGCCCAGTGACGGCACCGAAGGTGGCGATGTAGCTGTGCATGTCCTGGTGTTCCGCCTCCGTGAACAGTGGGTTCTGGCACTGGATGCCGCAGCCCTCCACATCCTCGTACCAGCTCTTGGGGTTGTCGGTCCGCACCAGGGGTGCCTCACACTGGCCCGAGCTGTTGAACTTGATGTTCTGCACCTCATTCTGGCCCAGGCAAGGACAGAGGTAGCTCAGGGTGAGCCTCTAGCTTAGGAAATGGCCCTGGGGGCAGCACACAGGGTGGCTGAGATGGGATTCCAGGATCCAAATTCCAGCCTTGCCACACAGTGGCTGTGTAGCCTTGGGCCATCTGGCCTCTCTGTACCTCAGTTTCCCAACTATATTAATACTCATCTTGTAGTAGGATGGGAGAGTTAAGTGAATATATACATGTAAAATGCTTTAATGGTATCTGGCATCCATAGTGAATGATAGTAATTAGTATTATTACTGTCATTATTATCATTCCAGATCTTTCCCACCCAGACTAGATCCATACCCATCTCGGTGTTTCTACCTATAGTACGTGCACATTTTTTTTTTTTACAAGAATAAGACTTTAACCAGCTTTATGTGGGGTTTATAACACCAAGAAATAAAGGGTTGTTAACAAACACAGTAACAAGCAAACGTCTGATTGGTATGAGGCGTTATCCCGTACACATCATTTTTGATGCATGTGCGTGCATGGGTGTGCGTGTGTGTATCCTCAATGCACAGCATTTACACACAGAGCCACTGCTGCACAAGAGTATCTGAAGAAGTAGAATCAGAGAAAGGCAGTTTAACAGAAAATTTTTAGTGCACATATTCTGTATGAAAACTGAACTTCTGAACCGGCAGATAGAAGGCAACTCTGTAATACAGTTAAAGTTCCCTGGCCCCTGAGTGCACACTGCCACCCTTCCATCCACACACACGACACATGAACAGTACTGAAAGGTAAACAAGGCACTCTGTGGCAACCACAGCCATCTTTATGAACATACTGCGCAAATTTTCTAGATCTAAAGTAGGGTAACTTGTACCTTACTTTTATTTTTTAAAACAGAAACATTTGATGCTGCAGGTAAACTCCACTTAAGTTTATAACTTGTGCCACAGCAAGAAGTGGTGATGCTCCTTATTCAGCTACCCTTTTATAATTATGGAAAAAATATCCAAGAGGAGTTACAGAGGATTGGGATGGTACCGGGCCCAAATATAAGCTTTCTTAAAAGTGGTTCCTTCAAGTAACTTCAGGTATATAAGCTGCTGCACATATAAAAAGTCGAAACAAACATTCCAGAAACTCAGGAGATATCACTATAGCATGCATTTCAGGCTAATTATGAATACTGTCATAAATCAAGTTTAAATTAGGACCTGAACACCTTTTAGTCATAGCAATTTTTGTCAAATTCTACGGCGGCAAGGCCGGGGATTTAGCTCAGCAGCACAATGCCTGCCTGGCAAGCTCAAGGTCATGAGTTCAATTCCCAGTACCAGAAAAACAAACAAACAAACAAACAAAAAAACCCAAAACCCAAATTCTGTGGCAATGATAATTGAAATAATATTTGCACATTTTGGTCTTTACATATATGATAAACTCCCTGAGTACAGTGTGGTTTTTTTTAGCCTGTTGTTATCTTTGACTTTTGTCTGACCCCAACATCTACCAGAGTAGGGACTCAAGTATTTGATGAACATGTTATCTTGGTTTTTTGTTTTGTTTTTGCTTCTTATGTTTTATTTTTTATTTTTTTTGGTACCAGGAATCGAACTTAGGACCTTGTGCTTGCCAGGCAGGCACTTGTGCCACTGAGCTATATCCCCAGCCCTCTTATGTTTTTTGAGACAAGGTCTTACTACATAGTTCAGGCTGGCCTTGAACTTACTATGTAGCCCAAATTGGCCCCGAAGTTGGGGCAATCCTCCTGCCTCAGCCTCATGAATTCTGGGATTACAAGTGTGCACCACCCCCTACTGCCAAATATGTTATCTTGGATCAAAAAGAAGCCTTGATCGATTGGTCTGGCTCATGAGGTGCAGTTTGGGTTTGTGCTCTGTGGATCCCATGGTTGTAGACACAAAGTCTCCCCTGCATCCTGTTGGACCCTGCCCCACACCAGGCCAGACAGCCCAGATCCTGCCCCAAGAGGACTCACCGGGCAGCCTTCAGGGAAGTGGTCAGGGGTGCAGCGCAGGAAGTCAGGCCAGCCCCGCTCCCGCTCCACAATGGCACAGGGGCCTCGCGTGGCCTGGCAGAGGGTTCGGCTGGGCAGCTCCACCCGGTCATTCTCGCACTTGGGCATGTACACGGCACACAGCAGGGGCTGGATCACTGCCCAGCAGCGGGGGGCATTCCGGAGGCCTGGGGGAGGTGACAGCAGGGCATGTTGTGGGAAGACCCCTCCTCGCTCTGACCCGATACAGCTGCACCTTCTGACCTCAGGCCTTTGCCACACTGCAGCTGTCACTGCTCAGACCCGTCAGGCAGTGTTTCTCAACAGGACATCTGGGTGGGGCAATTCTTTATGCTGCCGGGCTGGCCCCTGCCTCAGGGGACATCTAGCATCCAAAGACCCTGCCCGTAAAATGCCAGCAGAACCCCTAAGTCACTGTGACAACAACTACAACAAATGCCCGCTGCCCCCAATTTACCACCTGCAGGGGTGGCAACTGGAAGAGGGCCTGAGAGTTGCTTCTGGGAGGGTGAAAATGCTGTAGTTCTTGATCTGGTGCTGGTCACACGAGCGCAGGTATTCATCTTGTGAAAATCAGGCTTATGACCCACATACTCTTCTGCATGTACACTATAATTCAACTAAAGTTTTCAAAAAATACCCACCATTTCCAAATTCCCAGCTAGGCAGTGGCAGTGCCTCTGATTGAGAATCCCAGAGTTCCTTATTCATGGTACTGGGGACTAAACCCAGGTTGCATCACCAGCCCTTTTTATGTCTCATTTGAAGACAGGGTCTTGCTAAGTTAAGTTTCCCAGGCTGGGCTTGATCTTGCCATTCTCCTGCCTCGGCCTTCCAGAGTGCTGGGATTACAGGCATGTGCCACCATGCTTCTCAGGGTATTTAAAAACCATTTATGGGTCTCTTCTATAGGTCCGCCCCTCCCACGGCCCATTCACCAGGACGGGGAGATGCTCCCCCTCATCCAGCCCCCAGAACCCTTGTTTCCTTACCAAGCTGAGGTGAGAGAGGGGAGAGGTGGAGACTTAAGAAGAGGTAGTCAGAGGAGCCAGGAACTCCAGAGCCAGAGGAGGAAACAGGAGATCAGATGGAGAGAAACAGAGGAGACTCCATCCAGCGCAGAGGGAGGAAAGACGTCGTCAGCAGACAGAAACAGACAGAGGTCTCAGGCATCCCGTACCGCACCCAGGCCCTACCCTGCCCACCCCAGGAGCTGGGCTCGCTCTGCTCTCTGCTCTGCACCCTGCACCAAATCATCCCCAGCTTAGGGATATCTATATCCCAGTGAGGAGCTGCACTAGGAATCTTCTGAGGACATGAGCTGGCGTGGATGACGATCACATTGCAAGCTGGGGTAGTGGAGGCAGGATACCCCCCTTGTGAGGGGAGGCAAGAGTATCAGGCTAAGGAGCAATTAGCCTGCGGGGGCCCAAGTCTTGCCTGCACCATGCCCCGGCTGTGTCTCAGGCCAAGTATGCACTCTCTAGCTTCATTCTCAAAAGGGAGGGCAGACTCAGCCCATGCAGCCGTTGTGAGGAGTGAGACAGCACTCAAAACGGCGGTAAGGCTATCACCATTGCTAGTGTGACCTGAGGCCCCCACTGCTCACAGCTCTGAGAATCCTCCGGGTACAAAGCAAGTTCCTGCCAGGTATGCCTGTGGGAAGTGGCTCCCAGCTGGCTCAAATCAGGGTCTCCCAGGGAGCCTGTAGCACCTAGGACCATTCCCAGGAATTTTAAGTGGCTGGGAAACAGAGCAGTAGCTGTGGGGGCACAGGGCGGAGGGTGTGCTTGCAGAGCGCAGGGCAGAGAAGATGGATGTTCCTAGGCTTATGCTGTAGCCCCACCCACTCACCATGAGGTGAAAACATGACTGAAAAATGCACTGAAAACACTTCAACTGCTAACAGCCCAGCTCAGCAGCACAGCACACTGTCAGGCGCCGGCTGGTGCCCCTTGTGATCGCGTGGCTGGCTGGGAGCTGCACCCCACATCTGGAGAGAGGACTGGCTCGCATATCACTGGCCCAGGAAAAGATCCAAATCCAAATGTGAGGCATAATTTCTACTGAGCGTGTATTTCCTGTGCATCACCCTCAAGATGAAAAGCTGTAAGGTGAGGCGGGCGTCTGTGCAGAAAGGCAACAGGGCTGTTCTCTTGGTACGTGGGCTGCTTTACAATTGTGCATTTGTCTAGACACAGAACTAGGCGACAAGAACAAGGTCAGTTTTCCTGAATGTTTATTTTTAAATATATTGAAATGTGGTGGGGCTCTCGGGTAAAATGTCTTTTTGACAGCACCGGTCACTTAATAAAAATGTGTTATTTTGCTGGATTTTCTGATATTATTTTTCTTGTTCTTTTTTCTCAACTAAAATATTCTGTTTCAAGAAAATAAAATATTGTTTTATACTTTAAGAACAAACTCTTCACAGGAAAGGTGGTTTATTAATCTTAAGGGACAGTTGATCTATAGGAAAAGCATATGGGGCTCTGCTCTTGCTTCTTACATAAAAGACAATTTCAGATGGATAAAAAATAACCTTATAGCAGTAGGAGAAAAGATGGAAAATGGTTTTTTAAACCTTGAACTGAGGAAGGGTTTTTGAAGCATGACACAAAACCTAGAAGCCATGAAATAAAAAACTTGAAGATTTTAGAAAAATAGGTAAGTTCTGTAGGGTAAAAATAAATCAAATAATCATTAGAGAACCAACACACTGAGAGAGATATTTCCAGTACATGACATGGGTAAAGAGCTAATCTCTTTATACACATAAAATGCTTCCAAATCAGTAAGAAATGCATAATTCTACAGGTATATGGCGAAAGACAAACAATAGATCACACAGAGAAAACAACAGAGCCTATAAAAACAAAGAGACCTCAACCTCACTTTTAATAAAATGAATGCAAAATAAAACCATAACATAGAACCCTTTAGGGGCTGGGGATTTAGCTCAGTGGCACAGCGCCTGCCTGGCAAGCACGAGGTTGTGAGTTCGATTCCCGGTACCGGAAACAAAACAAAACAAAACAAAAAGATAGAACTCTTTAGCCTTCAGAAAAAGATTAAAACATTTGAAAATACTGCATTAAAACATCTGAAAATACTGTGAGGAATACAGGGACAGGAGGGGGAGGAGGGTGGCAATTTTATATGTTGTTGGTAGGAACAGAAATTAGTAAGCCCCTGTGGAGACCATTTGGCTTAACAAAATTTTATACTAGCAGTTCTACTTCACTTGTTCCCAAAAATCATATATAAGATTATTCATTGCAGCACTGTTTGTAGTAGCAAAAGAGTAGACCCAGCTTGAATCTATATCCATCATAAGAGGTCAGCTAAGTAAAATAACACACATTAGGGATAGAGGTATAGCTCAGTGGTGAGGCAAGGGCTTAGCATGCACAAGGCCCCAGTTCAACCTCCAGCACCAAAACTCCTACCCCCAAAACATAATAGAACACTATTCAGCGTTGAAATTGAATGATGCCCAGTATGCCTTGTTAAGTGAATAGTTATGTGAACAGTTGTTACCAACACCATGCCCTGTAGGCGGTGGAACAGAGACTAAGGGCACATGTTCATCTGGACACACCTCAGATAGCTCTAAAAGCACACACAACTGCTGGGTGTGGTGGCACACACCTGTAATTCCAGCATTCAGGAGGCTGAGGGAGGAAGATCATTGCGAGTTTGAGACCAGCCCGGGCTACAAAATGAGCTCAAGGCCAGCCTGAACTACCTAGCAAGACCCTGTCTCAAAAAAGACAATAAATAAATAAATAAAAATAAAATAAAAGCACACACAAAAATCAACATTTGCGGTTGCCCTGAAGAAGGAAAATGAGTAGTCAGAAACAGAAGTACAACTTCTGTTCCTTTTCAATTTTTTTTTCCTCTAAGACATGGTCTCCCCACATAGTTCAGGTTGGCCTTGAATTCACTAGGTATTCCAGGCTGGCCTCCAACTTGTGGCGACCCTCCTGCCTCAGCCTCCCCAGTGCTGGGATTACAGGTGTTTGGGCCACCACACCCACCACCATGTTCCTTCTGAATTTGCTAACATGCGCGTGTACTACCTATCCTGTAACACAACTGAGCTTAAAGATGAAATAAAGACATACAGAAATTAGAATGGAGGGAAGTTCCCCAGAGAAGAGAGCAAGGGAATGAAACTGACAACGGGGAAGAAAGCTGTGAGGTTCCACAGGGTAATGGCGCTCTGGACTCAGTACCAGGAAGAGAGGACATTAGCTTATCTGAACGGTAAAATATAAAACAGAAAGAAAAATAAGAATGCAAGTATTATAACACTACTAGTCTTTGCACTCTTTAAATAGTCACAGCTTTTTAAAATAACATTTGCCAACACTGTGGAAATCAGTGTGGGGAGTCTCAAAAAACTAGGACTAGAGGTCCCATTTGACCCAGGTATTCCCCTCCTTTGTATCTTTCCAAAATAATTAAAAGCATCATACCACAGTGATACATGCACACCTGTGTTTATAGTGGCACAGTCTGAAATAGCCAAATCTTGAAAACAGCCCATTTGCCCATCAACTGGTGAATGGATAAAGAAGATGTAGGATTTTTTCATACACTGGAGTACTACTCTGCCATAAAGAAGGATAAGCTTGAGACATTTCTAGCTACATGAATGTACTGTGAGACCATACTCTAAAGTGAAGGAAATCAGACACACACGTGTAAATATTGTGTTGTTTCTATGGTATGAAAAACTGGAAGTGTAAATAAGAACCAAAATGTATAACAGATATTGGGAAACAGAAAATATTCAAATGGGAAGGGGAACAAGGGAGAGGAAAGGGAAAAGGGAAAGCTAAAAAAATAAGAAAAAATGGAAACAAAGCTTTTGAAAATAAGGAGAGGAAGAGAGTTGAAGGGAGGGTAAGGAATTGGGGAAAAAAGAATCAAGTTAAAATAACATTTGCCCCCGTTTCACGTGGACTTTTTTTTTCTTCAGTTTTTAGTTTTTTTGAGACAGGGTCTTGCTGTGTAGTCCAGGCTGGCCTTGAATGCACTATGTAGTCCAGGCTGGCCTTGAACTCATGGCACTCCTCCTGCCTCAGCCTCCTGGGTGCTGGGATTGCTGTTGTTCTTAGCATGGGGTTCACCGAGGGTTCTCGGGAAGAATTCAGGA